GGACGGGGGGGGGGGGTGCTAGACCCACCAACAACACCACTGAAAAAATTCTAGTAGTCAACAGCAAGTTCCTCAGGACATATTTCTGTTTCCTGTTAAGAAAAAGCAAAATAAGTCAGAAAATAAAACAAAATGGTCAGCATTAGTGAGTACAACATGCTTTTCTGCAGGAACGCACTGTATTTTTATGCACATGTTCACAATATTAAAAGTAGAAGAAAAGGCTATATGGAAATGTCCTAAATAGCACAGAAACTGAAAAGGATACTTTACCATTTATGGTTATAGTTTTTAATCTGTGATGTGACCACTACCTAGAACCGCAGGGCTGTAGAAAACAGCAGCAGGAAACTCCTCCTATGCCGTCGCATGTGCAGTAGAGGTTGGGGGTGCTCAACTATAGTTAAGTAAATGTGACATTGCAATCTTGCATGTGCCTTCTATTAGGGTTCCTGATCACAAAATTGGCTTAACAGAATTACAAATCCCTTGGCAAGAAAAAGGAGATTTTTTCTTCAACTTGCTGATAAATGCTTTTCTTTGAGGGTATTGAGGGGTACAGGAAGACAATATCCTTAACGCTATACTGCAGCAGGAGGATTGGACACTAGCAAACAATTATAGGCCAGCCCAGGAAAACACCCCTCCTACTACCAGCATGCCTCGGTTTTGTAGCATATCAGTACTGAAGACATGATCGTAAACAGAGGTAGGGGACCAGTGTCCTTCATGAAAATTATTATGATGAGAATATATGGTAGGGGAGGCAGAATATAGAGAAAGGGTGCGTGTGTGTGTGTGTGTCAAAATTTCAATAACACTTCCGTTCTGTGAACTGAGGAGCTCATCCAAGTGTTTTTTTGAAGCAGCTTGTTTCCCGCAAAAGTCCTTTTTTCTTTCTTGTCCATTGAGGTACTAATGAAAGTCAGTAACCTGGTGGGCAAGAGCAAAAATTGCCAACAGGCCCCCCAAGAAAACAGAGCAGAGAACTGCTTGCAGCTCAAACAGCCCTCTGAAGAATATTATGACCAAAGCTGGCATCTGATTAGATTGAACATCCACCTGGTAGAACTTAAAGAACATGTTAACAGAAAACCAGTTGTCAACCTTGCAAATATGAGAAGCTGTAATCTGCAGTTGCAGAAAAGACCAAAAGGCACTAAAAAACCTAGTAGAGTACACCTTGACAAGAAAAAGTGTGGAACACTATTCATAAGCCCATAAGCTTAAAACAATCGGCCAGAAGCAGTGGCTGAGAGACCCACAACCCAAACTACATCCAGGCAAATCGAGGAAGATCTTTTTTTGATGAACTGGACCCAGACAGAGGAATGGAAGAACTGAGCTGAGGCAATGGCCTGAAACTACTTTACATTAGAAGTTCTGGGCCTCAACAGCCTCAGTCGCCAGCAAAAAAAATGAAGCATGCTGTGAGTGGGAGGGTTAAAGGAGAACTATGAGTCGAGTGCTTTTCACTCACCTCATAGTTCTAGCCGACCTGTGACGATGAGACTGTCACAGGTCGGCTCAGTAGATCGGGAGGTGAGCGAGCACATACCGGCGTTCGCACACCTCTCAATCCTGTCACGGCTCTCTGCCGTGACAGGGGAGGGGCTGGATTCCCCCCTCCCCGCCAGCGCTGACTGGCGGAACAGACGGGGGCAGGTACAGCTGGCTCTGCCTCCAGATAGGCAGAGCCAGCTGTCACTTACGCAGCTGGGCGGATCCCGGCACAATTGTCCGGATCCGCTTCAGCGTCTCAGTATACCGCGAGCAGCAGCTTGCGGTATAGTGAGCCTAGGGTGATGGGAGGACGCTAGTTTATGTCCTCCCGTTACCCTGAGAACTATAGGGAAAAGAATTAACCCCCATAGTTCTCCTTTAATACTGGGTAGTTGTCATTTACCAGTGTCCAAATCCTTCTGTGGGCAGCAGAATAACACAATTGTCTGAATCCTGTGTCCCTCAAATGAGGGAGAAAATAAAAAAGGTAAAACCACCCCAAAAACAAACAACTTTTTCACAGCCAGAAGGCAAGACAGATCAGGGTAGTCACTCTTTACACAGTCTGAATAACGTCCATGGCATTGCACAGGATTCTTAAGATACAGATCATTTACAGTAGACTTCGGCAAAACAGAGCATGTTCTACTAATTATACGAATACATTTTCTTTTAAATTAAATTTACTGCTCTTACCATCTTTTAATGGAGCTCTTGGCTGAATGTTCCTTTTGACATCGTGATGAAAAGCTTTGGCTGGATCATGCTGCTTCATTCCCTTCAAATCATTCAGCTGAGCCTGTAGCTTCTTTTTATTTTGCTTTTCTATTGACAATTCAGATCTCACACTTGCAAGTTCCTAACGATTGAGTAAAAAAAAAACATAAATCAAAAAAAAGGTAACAAGTATGAATAACAGGATTTTTGGACTTGCTTCTTGGAGTACACTAAGGATTTGGGATAGTAATTTTGGTACATAGGATAATGCAGCTTCCTTTAAAAAGATTGGACACTGCCCATGCAGCTTTGGTTTGCCAGCCTCGTGTTACCCCTCACATTTTCCTCATGTCTCAGTGGATCAATAGAACAGAGAGAAGGGACCTGTATCTAACGTACGCCAAGAACTGAATTTTACAGCAAGTCAAAAATCCCTTTCTCTTAATCATACATTTAGGGACACATGAAAAGTAATTTTTGTACATAGAGACTTTCAAAAGCACTCCAACTGAGGGGTAGGCAACACAGCAAACAAAACATCAGCTCGGAAGAACAAACAGAAGGGGCTCAAAATAGCTGCCCAAGGAACTTTCATCTGATGCCTTCAGATGAGTTTTCAGGCCTTGAAGTTTCTCTAAAATGTTATTGTACCCGCCAGGGGACCAAATGCATATATAGCACTTGGTCCCATTACCATAGCGGAATAAAAACACCTCTATATGTTAATGCTGGCTGTAGCTCCACTGCAGTTTTAAAAAGGAGAACTATGGGGTCAGTGTTTTTCCCCATAGTTCTCCTTAGGATAACGGGAGGACACAAACTAGCGCCTCCCGTTACCCTAAGCTCAGTATACCGCAAGCTACAGCTTGCGGTATACTGAGACGACGCAGCGGATCCCGACATGGACGTCGAGATCCGCCCAGCTGCGCGAGTGACAGCTGGCTCTGCCTATCCAGATGCAGAGCCAGCTGTACCCGCCCCCCTCCGTTCCGCCAGTCAGCGCTAGCAGATCGGAGCGGGGAGAGGGGACTCCAGCCCCTCCCCTGTCACGCAGAGAGCCGTGACAGGATCGAGAGGCGAGTGAACCCGGTATGTGTACGCTCACCTCCCGATCTACTGAGCCGACCTGTGACAGTCTCATTGTCACAGGTCGGCTAGAACTATGAGGTGAGTGGAAATCACTCATCTCACAGTTCTCCTTTAAGCCTAAAAGATGGGAGTTTAGGGGGGTGGGGGAGAATACAGGCAGCACCGAGCCCTGCCCCGTCAGCCGACTGTTGTGCCCGTTCACCATTATGAATGAACAAACAGTGCTACAGGGCTGTGTTTTCGAGATGCCAGCTGCTTGTAACATACAGGGCAGAAGCTGCTCTGACAAACGCTGATGGGTCATTCATAAAAACACTTAGAGCACACAGGCCTGCAGAGCTATCTGCCGGAACTGTTTGCAAGTAAACAGCCCAGCAGATCGACCACATAGCCTTGCAGCACCAAGTGCTCTAATGAATGGACAGTGCAACAGACAATTGTCTAACATTTTATTGTTGCACTGCGTATAGAATTGAAAAAACTACAGTGACCTTTGTTTTATAAGGAGCACACAGCTGCTTGGTAGATACTCTGACTGTAGCACTGTCTTTAGTTTGTCTATTAGGGCTGTATACTTACAGATCAGCCCTCACTGGTCTAAAAAAAAAAAAAACACTTCGCGCTGAGGGGCTGCAATCTGCCAGGCTCTGCATGTACAGACAGGAGAAGTAAGGTGTCCTTCCGTGACGCAATGACTGAAGGTAGCAGTGAGGGGAACTGACTTCCCCCTACTTTGGACAAGTGTGGGTGCTCACTCATCGCGAGGACTTGCCCACAGGTTTAGAGCGGATGCAAGTCTCCTCTCAGTAACCATATGGAGGGCCCCTGGGCTCAAATATTGGTTTGTGGAATAGTCGTGCTAAAAGCACTTGGTTATTCACAGATCGTTGGCAGCCTCCTCATTTTTTTACATATCCAGTCAAATACGCACAGCATGTTCCAGGGAGAAACACCCTGTCATTTAGGTAAGGGTGCAGTCTGAGGGTGGGGTTTGGAGGAAGTGACCATGTTTGCTGTTGCACCCCAAATATAGGTGTAGCATGAAAAACAGCCACAACATCCAATAACCTGGTAAGCTGCAACAATCTGTTCTACAGTTTAGATAATGGCAAGATCCCCTGATATTAAGTTTAAGGTCTTTGTGCAGGCACTTCCTGTTATAGAGTGACTGCTTATTCCCCATGAGTGCTCCTTTATTAAACCACTTTTTAACACTGTTGCTATGGATACTACAAGTGTCTGACTACACACATTGCACTTTTATCTACCATTTTTGTCACCATAAAGGTAAACAACCCGGAGAAATGGAGTGTATCCATGCAGAAGCAACATTCTCCCTGGGGAATCAAGTTTTAGGATCACTTAAATCCTTCCCCCTCATCTCATATTGGGGTGCAAGTATTTTCTAGTTCACAGTGGAGAGCTCAATACGGGGCTGATAATGGTTGATAAAACACTTCAGCGGTACACAGGAGGTCACTGGATTTTCAGCAGGATGAACAGGTATTTTTGCCGACTTGTCAAACAGATATACCATTGAAACAGTTTATTAAACAGGCCAAAAGGGAGCAAATAAGAAGTTCATTGTTAGGGTTTAAATGCACGAAGTATAGAAGTTAGATACTGCCATCTGCTGCTCAAATGAGAAAATGCAACTTGTACTGTACCTGTTTGAGTAGAATGTTTTCGTTTTTCAGTTTCACAACATGCTTTATCTTTTGTTTTTGATTCTGATGACCAAGCAGCTTGGCATATGCCTCACTAAGTTTGTTTAGTTCATCCTGTGCTGCTCCACGCTCATTAAGCAAGGCATTTTTCTCAGCTTCGAAAGCATCCAGTTGTTGCTGCAATACAGATGTCATTACAGCGTTTATGTGAAACGAGGCGCTATAAAAGACTTGCAAAACTTTGCACATGAAAACCACACATATCCAGGTGCTGATTGGTACCAATAACTCAAGACTGCTGCTTCAGGGTTCCCATAAGACTCAGTGCCTGAATTATGCAACTTCTTAATTTTAAAAAAGTCAGCCAAGAACCACTACAGTGTATTCCACAGTTCAATACAGGTTACAGGGCCCTCCTTACCATCTTGTCTTGAATAGTATGTCTTCCTTTTATTTTTAAGCGCTACACAAACTGTTAGCGCTATATAAATCCTGAATAAGTATCATTCACAAATAATTACTGAGGCCATAAACTGCAACATGGCAAGCACTGAAAGTGAGCCTTAGCTTCTGGTTTTGAAAAAGTCAAAGTGTACATATTACAGTAGCCCAGATGTCAGACTACAGAGATGCACTACAGTAATGGATGCAAAGTCACTGGTACCGATCTAAAAACAGGTGGTGCCTTGTTTTCAGGTTATATTAGTGGAAGATGTATTCCGAAGAGTAGAGCTGGGGCCTTGTACAGCCTTGATATCTCATAGCAAGTCGATACAGAATTCTGAACTGGTTTCTTTCTTGTAAAATTTAAGTGCATACTTCTCAATAACCAATTCAGTACCACCATGTTCCACCCCCTTCCTTTACAGGCATTAGTTTCACGTGACACGACTATCACTTGTTAATGCAATATTTTATCCAAATTAACTTTATATATATTTTTAAAACAGATTGAGCTTTCTTTGGGGGCATTTGACTTGTATAAAAAGCAAAGAAAATTAGAAATTGCCAACATTTACCTTCAACTTCTAACGGATCTAAGATTATACTGTATATGCTAATAGATAATGATTAGAGTTGCTTCCTGGCATAAAAGTTTAGGTTGGCATTGCATTGTACCACACACACCACAGCTTTGTGTTTACTCGGCTTTCTTTAGGTGCTGGTAAACAGAGGTCACTGGACCAAGGAGCATTTGAGCAGCAATCCTGCTTCCTCTCCCCTGTGAGAGGAAGGGGAGGGCTCACTGTGTAAAACACAGCCAGTATTTACACATGTGATTACGGTGAACCAAACACAGCGATCATAAGGCACAAAGCCACCCTGATAGGCTCCCGATCCCACATATCCTCTCTATAAAACAAGTACAATTGTATATTCAGGGGTGTGGAATACTCATCACCCAACGCCCAGGACATGCAGTTCCAGGCCTCGGGTGGGTATTTAATTTTTTTTTATATTTAGCCCTGCTTTGGGCAGGCAGCAGGGCTATATGTAGAGAGGGAGCTGGCCTATACGGTGCACTCGCAGCCTTCTTGTCAAAGGAGAACGAGCACAGTACTATGCTAGAACTCCTATGTTGGAGGTGAGAACCAGTCACCTCCAAATGCTATCACACAGGGGCTTGTTATCCCCTGTGTGATAGCAATAAAGTTAAAGTGACTAAAGAAAGTAAAAATAAAAATGGAAATAAAAACAAGAACATGAACAAAAATGTAAAAAGGTGATTAAGAAAAAAAATAAAATAAATTAAAACCAACCAACCCTGCTGCCCCCACCATCTGCATGCGAATAAACACATGCATAGGGCATATTGTGCGTGAGGAGTGGTGCCGCCATTCCACTGTGTGCCATATTATGGTGGCTGGGAAGCAACAATGTGCATGAAGGCCAGGTCCACACCTGGGCAATCCGCGAGAGCGCTGCTATCGCGCACAAAATCACGCAGCTGGTCATTGAATCACACCAAATTGCGCTGGCAGTGCCAATATTTTCTAAAGCATTAGTCAGATCGATCACCTGACGGCACTGACCAATGAGAAGCGCTTCTTAGCACTGCTAAATACGGTTTTAATTTGAAAAAATGGCTAAAGAGGAACTTGACCCATATCTTTAAAATAACAAATGCACCTTTTTTAGAAATGTTTAGGGGGGGGGGGGGGGGGGAAAAAAAAAAAATTTTGGGGGGGGGGGGGGAGAATAAAAATATTCTGAGACATGCAGGGAGAGGTTAAGAGGTTATACCAGGCTGTTCAGACAGATTGCAACTGTCGCGACTTCTGAAAGTGGCAGTATAACCCAGTGGTCTAAGAATACCATCCTGGGATGTGGGATTTAGAAATTTAAATAGTTTAGCGTGCATTGTCTGGGCACATGTTCCCTTCAAAACCTAAGTGCAGCTTCCAAAAGTTCAAAAATCCCGGCCGAGGTAAAAACAAATCCAGTTATATTTACATGGTCTCCAGCACAATCCTTTGACTTACCAATTCAGTGATGTGTTGCTATTGCTTTTCTAGGTTAAATGGTGCTGGTCCTCATTTAACACAATTCCAGTGAGCCCATGGTGTCAAGGCTGTGTTCCCACCCTGGACTCACAGAAGAACACTGAAGAGCGGCGACACATTACTCAAGCGTGAAGTTGAAACTCCAATTTCTAATACATATCCTCACAATATCTTTGGATTAAGGCTGTGTTTTAAAGTGGAACTAAACTCTGAAAGCATTGCCCAAAAAAGTAAAGCGGGCAAAGGTCTAGCCACTGGAATTGCCTGTGGTCTCCCTTCAGCTACTTGTCCCCGATTAACTTACCATGCCTTGTTCTACAGAGTATGGTCATCTTGGTAGAGGCAGGGCTTTGCATCCTCATGTCTGAGCCTCCAGCAAGGAGCACAATAGTGGAATCCCCAAACCTCCCTTCAAATATACGAAGACCAACAGAGGCACCAGTTCCACTGATCTCACACTGCAGGTATTCAACTATGAGGCTGCAGCCACAGGCTAGGCACCCTCGCAAATCAAGGCTATATTTTAACAGAGGTAATAGAAGAGAAACTGTAAACCTTTTAGGGTAACACTAAAAAAGGCACAGTAACACTTCTAGAAATTTCCTATAACATAAAAAATCTTTTGCTTTTTGAGTTCAGTTCCACTTTAAAGGATGCAGCTTAATCAGGAATGGGACCCAAAACATATGGTGCCTCAAAAGTGGAAACACATCAAACCATATGGGAAATTAAACATACCTGAAATGGCCTAACTTTATTGAATAATTCCTCATACAAAGTGCGCCATTTGACTGTTTCTTCATTTTCACAAGCTTGCCTATAAGACAAATCAGTATTATCAACCCAAACAAACCAGAAAATGCTAAAAGGTCTTGCTTTAATCCAAGATTTAAAGTGGACCTGTACCCCCATTCACTAAAAATCACATTCACATGCAGCTCTGCGTGCCGATATGAAATCTTACATTCATTAGTTAAAGATGGTTTTCATTTGCTTACAAAAAAGAGTATCTACTTCCTGGTCCAGTTCTGGCATGATTTGATGTGCCCAAGCGTTGCATCCTGGGAAATCTCATGAGATATCAGGGAAAATAAATTTTCCTCCCCTAAGATAGTGTGCAAAATCACATGCCCAAGTCACATGTGCCAGAGCTCCAGGAAGTAAAGGGAGATCTAGTAACCTGCCCTCTTTAACATAGCCGCTGTCAGAAGACTGTTCTTGGCATACCTTATTTCTCTTTTCTTTCCAATGCCTGCAATTATCTATAAGTATCGGTTAGTAGATTGTCATTACTAAACATTTCAAAAAAAAGGTGCATTTGTTGTTATTTTAAAGATATGGGTCAAGTTCCTCTTTAGCCATTTTTCCAATTGAAACGTGTGTGAAAAGATGTGATTGTGTTGTACAAACATTAACAAATAGATCCTAAAATGTACAATCTTGGCTGAGAAAATCAGCTGGCATTTAACTTTTGGGGGTTCACAGTTAGTTGAAGATTAGCCGACGTCTCAAATAGACCATTCTGAATTTGTCGCAAAGTTTGCCCAAACAAACTTCTATTTGCTCCCTTTTGGTCTGCTTAATATACCATTACAGATTTAAAACATTTTGTTACATCTGCTTGAGAAAGAACATTTGAAATCCCAAAAGAGCATTCCTAGTTCTTATCGTAAACTACAAAATAATCAGCCTTTAAGTTGTAGAGATCTAAATGTAGGGGCAGCTGAGCAATTTAGCAAGAGACATTGGGCAAGGCTTACCAACTTTAGAGAACTCTGGGGAAAAAAAAACAACTTACCCTTGCAGTGGGGCTACCCGACGTGGCAAGTGCATTTTTTTTCTAGCTGGGCTCAAATAAAGCAATTTTACTCAATGCTTTGAATTGCATCGGTTGGCACTCTTCTCTCCGGCTATGGAATGCCCCGTGGCATCCTGACATCTAATAGAGGTCAATGGATCTGCGCAAGACGTGACGTCGGTCGTCCTTAGACCACTGGAACCCAGGGGATAAGAGGCTGCAGGGACCAGTCGAACACTAAAAGGAGAACTATGGGGTGAGTGAAATACACTGATCCCCATGGTTAGAGCCGACATGCGACATTGAAACTATCACACGTCGGCTCTATTGAAACTGTCACACATCGGCTCTATTGATCAAGGATTGAAAACAATGCCGCTCGCTCATTTCCCGATAATTAACTGGAGGGACAGACGGAGGAGGGGGTGTGCATATCTGGCTCTGCCTCTAGATTGACAGTGGGCTCTGCCCATCAGCCAGCAGGGTGGATCTTGACAATATTGTCAGGAACCGTCCCTGATGCGGCGATCTGTATATAGTGTGGGTTATTGCCCGATATATGTTGAGTTTTGGGTCACAGGAGGATGTTCGTATATGCCCTCCCATGACCCTAAAGAGTACTATGGGGGGGGGGGTTGACTGAACCCCATAGTTCTCTTAACCCTTGCAGGGGTAGACATACATACATACATACATACATACATACATACATTCAGTAGCACCACCTGTTTATGCCATTGGTCCTGTGCTTTCGCAAAAATGTATGGTTTTAAGGTTTTATAATTTTTTCTATGTACAGCTTTCAGAGTTTGTAAAAGTAAAAAATTGCAAAAATGGTCTGGCCATCTGAGGGCAGGGCCTGGCAGCAAAAGAGCTAAAGGAAGAAAACACAAGGCAATGTGCATGTATTGTAAATATGTGCTGCATTTTTTTCCCTTTAGCCTTGACATACAACAGTCTATATTCTGGAGAAGCGCTTTTAAATATTTTACTGAATGTTGGAAGCTAGATTTAAAAATATGTAAATATAAGTGACCAGCTATACTAAATTTACCATGTCACACACCACTCAGTTTAGTAGAAAATAGTACTCCAATGCCTGCAGGGAAGCAGACACTGCAAGGAATATATCAATCTACTTACTGCAATGTCATTACATAACACTCCTGAAGAGCCAGTTTACCTGCAGACTTGGAGGATGATTTACACCAATTGGTGTTGGGAGGCACAGGCAGCAGTAGAGGGAAGTATATACTTGCTTTCATGTATATCTTTGAGTAAATTTAGCATACAAAATGGTCCTTAACAGGTTTTGTTTCATCAATAATGCAAGATCGTACCTTGAAAGCTCTTGTTGTAACGATAAAATATGTAGGTTTTTTAGTTTATTTTGTTGTTCAAACTCTTCATCTCTTCTAGCAGCGGTCTCGAGACATTCTTGAAGCCGTTTCTCTAGGTTTTCCTTTGTTTTCGTAAAGGATTCTTGCAGCTCAAGTAGTTGTCCCTTCAACTCTTCTTTTATGATTTCTGAAGCCTTGTTCATCTCCTGAATTTCTTTTTCCATTGTTTCATTATTCTTTAGAAGTTCTTGAAGCTTTTGCTCTGCATCATTTTTTGTTTTAGCTAGTTCTTGCTGAAGTTCAAGCACTTGCAGCTCTAACTCACAAACGGTCTTCGTGGAGGCCTCTCGTATGTCAAGAAGTTTTTTTTGCAGCTCTTTCTGAGTTTTGGTGGCAACAGTCTTAAGTTCATCAACTTGCTGCTCTAATTCTTCCTTAGTTTTTGTTGCACTTTCCTGATAGTCAAGTAGCTGCTGTTCTAATAATTGCTTTGTTTTTCCTGAAGTCTCCTGGACCTCAAGAAGCTGCTGCTCTAAGGCTTCCTTTGTCCCTTGTAGGTCAAAAAGTTGGCCTTCCAATGTAGTCTTAGATTTTAAAGAGATTTCCTGGAGTTCAAGAAGCCGATTCTCCAGTTCTGCTTTTGCTTTGGAGGAGGTTTCCTTTTCGTAGAAAAGCTGTTGCCTTGTAATAGCAGACGTTTCCTGAAGTTCAAGAAATTGTTTTTCTAATACCCTTTTTTCTTGGTCCGAGGTTTCTTGAAAGTTGAGAAGCTTCTGCTCTAGTTCCTCCTTTGCTTTGGCTGAGCTGTCCAGGACCTCTTTAAGTTGTTGCTCCAACCCTTCTCTTGTTTTGGTAGAAGTTTCTTGAAGCTCAAAGAGCTTCTGCTGTAATTCTTCGCTCATTTTGGAAGAGGCTTGCTGAAGATCATTCAGCTCTTGCTGCAGTCTTTCCTCAGTTGTTCTTGAGACTTCTTGGAGCTCACACAGCCTGTTTTCCAAACTTTCTTTTATTTTCAAGGATTCCTCTTGTAGTTGACAATTTTTTTGTTCCAGTGATTCACTTTTCTTTGAATTTTCCTCAAGCTGCCATTCTAGAGCTTCTTTATCCATTTCCACCTGGGCAATTCTATCCATTAGGGACAAATTTGTCATGTTCAATGAGTCAATTTCTGTTGCTGCTGTAGTCTTAAAACTAGATGAAAAATGCAGTGTAACAAAATAAGTCATCATGCCACAGTATTTTTACAAGGCTTTTTTTTTTAAACACATTCTGAAATGTTTAGATACCTTTTAAATTCAGCAAGCTGCATTAATAGATCATTCTGCTCCGCTTTCAGTTGCAACATTTTCTTCCTGTGTTTCTCCTTTGCTCTTGCCAGCTCTGCATTTTTCCTGAAAAAGAAACTCAAGTATTTCAACGTCTGAGCAATTAAAACCAGTATTCCGTTCAGTTAAAGTAGACAAAGTAAGATCTCAACTAGATGCTCAGAGTACATGGCATAATCTTGCATGAGCAGTTTAACAATTATACCGCGAGCAGCAGCTCGCGGTATACTGAGCCTAGGGTGACGGGAGGACGCTAGTTTGTGTCCTCCCGTTACGCCTTAACCCCATAGTTCTCCTTTAACACTTCTACAGGCAGTAATCTTGCCTTCTTTCTTTCTTCAGCCTGCTGATTGAACAAATTCCTATACTGCTGCTCAGTAAATTCGTATGCTGTCGAAAAGGGCATTTTCCTCGCTTTGGAGAAATGTCCTCACTTCCTGTAGCATCTACTGGACAGGAAGTGAAGGGAATTTATACACACTACCCCATTAAAGGAGAACTATGAGGCGAGTGCTTTTCACTCATAGTTCTAGCCGACCTGTTACAATGAGACTGTCACAGGTCGGCTCAGTAGATCGGGAGGTGCGTGAACAGATACCGGCGTTCGTTCACCTCACGATCCTGTCACGGCTCTCTGCCGTGACAGGGTAGGGCCTGGACTCCCCCCTCCCATCAGCTAGCGCTGACTGGTGGAACGGACGGGGGCGGGTACAGCCGGCTCTGCCTCTAGATAGGCAGAGCCAGCTGTCACTCACAGCTGGGCGGATCCCGGCACAATTGTCGGGATCCGCTTCAGCATCTCAGTATACCGCGAGCAGCAGCTCGCGGTATACTGAGCCTAGGGTGACGGGAGGACGCTAGTTTGTGTCCTCCCGTTACGCCTTAACCCCATAGTTCTCCTTTAACACTTCTACAGGCAGTAATCTTGCCTTCTTTCTTTCTTCAGCCTGCTGATTGAACAAATTCCTATACTGCTGCTCAGTAAATTCGTATGCTGTCGAAAAGGGCATTTTCCTCGCTTTGGAGAAATGTCCTCACTTCCTGTAGCATCTACTGGACAGGAAGTGAAGGGAATTTATACACACTACCCCATTAACACTTCTACAGGCAGTAAAAAAATAAAAAAGTGGTGTTGGGAGAAGACAACATTTTTCAGTTGATATTACCCTTTAAGAGTTTCATCTAGTTGTGCAAGCTCTTCTGCCCTCTGCTTATTCTCTTGCTCCAGTTGCATGATTATTTTCTCTGCTGCCTCCTCCTGTAGTTGCAATTTGTCAAGATCATCCAGCGTCCCTTCAAGCTCCTCCTCCAAAAGGCACCTTTCTTTCATCATCTCCTCTTGTACATTTTGCAATTCTAGAAGCAGGGAGCTGGAAGTCTAACAAATGAGAAAAAATATTTTGGGGTGTTGTACACAAACATCAAGTGTTCATAAATCACTTAAAATCTTCTTGCCCACACACACACCACACATTGTTTACCTGTATAAAAGATTAGCACGAGTGTAGAGGGGGAGGAAGTATAGTAACCATCCAATATGTGGCCATTCTACTCTGCTAAAAACTGAAGTCTCTTGTTATAGATGGTCTACCTCAGTACATAATAGAAACATTTCTATACCCCCACACGAAAGAAACTGGTTCTTCAAGCTGCCTGCAACCAACCTACACTGACCTTCCAAGGTACTGAATACCAGGTTTCCGCCAATTTAGCCCCCTCAGGCAGTAAAAAAATAAAAAAGTGGTGTTGGGAGAAGACAACATTTTTCAGTTGATATTACCCTTTAAGAGTTTCATCTAGTTGTGCAAGCTCTTCTGCCCTCTGCTTATTCTCTTGCTCCAGTTGCATGATTATTTTCTCTGCTGCCTCCTCCTGTAGTTGCAATTTGTCAAGATCATCCAGCGTCCCTTCAAGCTCCTCCTCCAAAAGGCACCTTTCTTTCATCATCTCCTCTTGTACATTTTGCAATTCTAGAAGCAGGGAGCTGGAAGTCTAACAAATGGTATACTGAGCCTAGGGTGACGGGAGGACGCTAGTTTGTGTCCTCCCGTTACGCCTTAACCCCATAGTTCTCCTTTAACACTTCTACAGGCAGTAATCTTGCCTTCTTTCTTTCTTCAGCCTGCTGATTGAACAAATTCCTATACTGCTGCTCAGTAAATTCGTATGCTGTCGAAAAGGGCATTTTTCTCGCTTTGGAGAAATGTCCTCACTTCCTGTAGCATCTACTGGACAGGAAGTGAAGGGAATTTATACACACTACCCCATTAAAGGAGAACTATGAGGCGAGTGCTTTTCACTCATAGTTCTAGCCGACCTGTTACAATGAGACTGTCACAGGTCGGCTCAGTAGATCGGGAGGTGCGTGAACAGATACCGGCGTTCGTTCACCTCACGATCCTGTCACGGCTCTCTGCCGTGACAGGGTAGGGCCTGGACTCCCCCCTCCCATCAGCTAGCGCTGACTGGTGGAACGGACGGGGGCGGGTACAGCCGGCTCTGCCTCTAGATAGGCAGAGCCAGCTGTCACTCACAGCTGGGCGGATCCCGGCACAATTGTCGGGATCCGCTTCAGCATCTCAGTATACCGCGAGCAGCAGCTCGCGGTATACTGAGCCTAGGGTGACGGGAGGACGCTAGTTTGTGTCCTCCCGTTACGCCTTAACCCCATAGTTCTCCTTTAACACTTCTACAGGCAGTAATCTTGCCTTCTTTCTTTCTTCAGCCTGCTGATTGAACAAATTCCTATACTGCTGCTCAGTAAATTCGTATGCTGTCGAAAAGGGCATTTTTCTCGCTTTGGAGAAATGTCCTCACTTCCTGTAGCATCTACTGGACAGGAAGTGAAGGGAATTTATACACACTACCCCATTAAAGGAGAACTATGAGGCGAGTGCTTTTCACTCATAGTTCTAGCCGACCTGTTACAATGAGACTGTCACAGGTCGGCTCAGTAGATCGGGAGGTGCGTGAACAGATACCGGCGTTCGTTCACCTCACGATCCTGTCACGGCTCTCTGCCGTGACAGGGTAGGGCCTGGACTCCCCCCTCCCATCAGCTAGCGCTGACTGGTGGAACGGACGGGGGCGGGTACAGCCGGCTCTGCCTCTAGATAGGCAGAGCCAGCTGTCACTCACAGCTGGGCGGATCCCGGCACAATTGTCGGGATCCGCTTCAGCATCTCAGTATACCGCGAGCAGCAGCTCGCGGTATACTGAGCCTAGGGTGACGGGAGGACGCTAGTTTGTGTCCTCCCGTTACGCCTTAACCCCATAGTTCTCCTTTAACACTTCTACAGGCAGTAATCTTGCCTTCTTTCTTTCTTCAGCCTGCTGATTGAACAAATTCCTATACTGCTGCTCAGTAAATTCGTATGCTGTCGAAAAGGGCATTTTTCTCGCTTTGGAGAAATGTCCTCACTTCCTGTAGCATCTACTGGACAGGAAGTGAAGGGAATTTATACACACTACCCCATTAAAGGAGAACTATGAGGCGAGTGCTTTTCACTCATAGTTCTAGCCGACCTGTTACAATGAGACTGTCACAGGTCGGCTCAGTAGATCGGGAGGTGCGTGAACAGATACCGGCGTTCGTTCACCTCACGATCCTGTCACGGCTCTCTGCCGTGACAGGGTAGGGCCTGGACTCCCCCCTCCCATCAGCTAGCGCTGACTGGTGGAACGGACGGGGGCGGGTACAGCCGGCTCTGCCTCTAGATAGGCAGAGCCAGCTGTCACTCACAGCTGGGCGGATCCCGGCACAATTGTCGGGATCCGCTTCAGCATCTCAGTATACCGCGAGCAGCAGCTCGCGGTATACTGAGCCTAGGGTGACGGGAGGACGCTAGTTTGTGTCCTCCCGTTACGCCTTAACCCCATAGTTCTCCTTTAACACTTCTACAGGCAGTAATCTTGCCTTCTTTCTTTCTTCAGCCTGCTGATTGAACAAATTCCTATACTGCTGCTCAGTAAATTCGTATGCTGTCGAAAAGGGCATTTTTCTCGCTTTGGAGAAATGTCCTCACTTCCTGTAGCATCTACTGGACAGGAAGTGAAGGGAATTTATACACACTACCCCATTAAAGGAGAACTATGAGGCGAGTGCTTTTCACTCATAGTTCTAGCCGACCTGTTACAATGAGACTGTCACAGGTCGGCTCAGTAGATCGGGAGGTGCGTGAACAGATACCGGCGTTCGTTCACCTCACGATCCTGTCACGGCTCTCTGCCGTGACAGGGTAGGGCCTGGACTCCCCCCTCCCATCAGCTAGCGCTGACTGGTGGAACGGACGGGGGCGGGTACAGCCGGCTCTGCCTCTAGATAGGCAGAGCCAGCTGTCACTCACAGCTGGGCGGATCCCGGCACAATTGTCGGGATCCGCTTCAGCATCTCAGTATACCGCGAGCAGCAGCTCGCGGTATACTGAGCCTAGGGTGACGGGAGGACGCTAGTTTGTGTCCTCCCGTTACGCCTTAACCCCATAGTTCTCCTTTAACACTTCTACAGGCAGTAATCTTGCCTTCTTTCTTTCTTCAGCCTGCTGATTGAACAAATTCCTATACTGCTGCTCAGTAAATTCGTATGCTGTCGAAAAGGGCATTTTTCTCGCTTTGGAGAAATGTCCTCACTTCCTGTAGCATCTACTGGACAGGAAGTGAAGGGAATTTATACACACTACCCCATTAAAGGAGAACTATGAGGCGAGTGCTTTTCACTCATAGTTCTAGCCGACCTGTTACAATGAGACTGTCACAGGTCGGCTCAGTAGATCGGGAGGTGCGTGAACAGATACCGGCGTTCGTTCACCTCACGATCCTGTCACGGCTCTCTGCCGTGACAGGGTAGGGCCTGGACTCCCCCCTCCCATCAGCTAGCGCTGACTGGTGGAACGGACGGGGGCGGGTACAGCCGGCTCTGCCTCTAGATAGGCAGAGCCAGCTGTCACTCACAGCTGGGCGGATCCCGGCACAATTGTCGGGATCCGCTTCAGCATCTCAGTATACCGCGAGCAGCAGCTCGCGGTATACTGAGCCTAGGGTGACGGGAGGACGCTAGTTTGTGTCCTCCCGTTACGCCTTAACCCCATAGTTCTCCTTTAACACTTCTACAGGCAGTAATCTTGCCTTCTTTCTTTCTTCAGCCTGCTGATTGAACAAATTCCTATACTGCTGCTCAGTAAATTCGTATGCTGTCGAAAAGGGCATTTTTCTCGCTTTGGAGAAATGTCCTCACTTCCTGTAGCATCTACTGGACAGGAAGTGAAGGGAATTTATACACACTACCCCATTAAAGGAGAACTATGAGGCGAGTGCTTTTCACTCATAGTTCTAGCCGACCTGTTACAATGAGACTGTCACAGGTCGGCTCAGTAGATCGGGAGGTGCGTGAACAGATACCGGCGTTCGTTCACCTCACGATCCTGTCACGGCTCTCTGCCGTGACAGGGTAGGGCCTGGACTCCCCCCTCCCATCAGCTAGCGCTGACTGGTGGAACGGACGGGGGCGGGTACAGCCGGCTCTGCCTCTAGATAGGCAGAGCCAGCTGTCACTCACAGCTGGGCGGATCCCGGCACAATTGTCGGGATCCGCTTCAGCATCTCAGTATACCGCGAGCAGCAGCTCGCGGTATACTGAGCCTAGGGTGACGGGAGGACGCTAGTTTGTGTCCTCCCGTTACGCCTTAACCCCATAGTTCTCCTTTAACACTTCTACAGGCAGTAATCTTGCCTTCTTTCTTTCTTCAGCCTGCTGATTGAACAAATTCCTATACTGCTGCTCAGTAAATTCGTATGCTGTCGAAAAGGGCATTTTTCTCGCTTTGGAGAAATGTCCTCACTTCCTGTAGCATCTACTGGACAGGAAGTGAAGGGAATTTATACACACTACCCCATTAAAGGAGAACTATGAGGCGAGTGCTTTTCACTCATAGTTCTAGCCGACCTGTTACAATGAGACTGTCACAGGTCGGCTCAGTAGATCGGGAGGTGCGTGAACAGATACCGGCGTTCGTTCACCTCACGATCCTGTCACGGCTCTCTGCCGTGACAGGGTAGGGCCTGGACTCCCCCCTCCCATCAGCTAGCGCTGACTGGTGGAACGGACGGGGGCGGGTACAGCCGGCTCTGCCTCTAGATAGGCAGAGCCAGCTGTCACTCACAGCTGGGCGGATCCCGGCACAATTGTCGGGATCCGCTTCAGCATCTCAGTATACCGCGAGCAGCAGCTCGCGGTATACTGAGCCTAGGGTGACGGGAGGACGCTAGTTTGTGTCCTCCCGTTACGCCTTAACCCCATAGTTCTCCTTTAACACTTCTACAGGCAGTAATCTTGCCTTCTTTCTTTCTTCAGCCTGCTGATTGAACAAATTCCTATACTGCTGCTCAGTAAATTCGTATGCTGTCGAAAAGGGCATTTTCCTCGCTTTGGAGAAATGTCCTCACTTCCTGTAGCATCTACTGGACAGGAAGTGAAGGGAATTTATACACACTACCCCATTAACACTTCTACAGGCAGTAAAAAAATAAAAAAGTGGTGTTGGGAGAAGACAACATTTTTCAGTTGATATTACCCTTTAAGAGTTTCATCTAGTTGTGCAAGCTCTTCTGCCCTCTGCTTATTCTCTTGCTCCAGTTGCATGATTATTTTCTCTGCTGCCTCCTCCTGTAGTTGCAATTTGTCAAGATCATCCAGCGTCCCTTCAAGCTCCTCCTCCAAAAGGCACCTTTCTTTCATCATCTCCTCTTGTACATTTTGCAATTCTAGAAGCAGGGAGCTGGAAGTCTAACAAATGAGAAAAAATATTTTGGGGTGTTGTACACAAACATCAAGTGTTCATAAATCACTTAAAATCTTCTTGCCCACACACACACCACACATTGTTTACCTGTATAAAAGATTAGCACGAGTGTAGAGGGGGAGGAAGTATAGTAACCATCCAATATGTGGCCATTCTACTCTGCTAAAAACTGAAGTCTCTTGTTATAGATGGTCTACCTCAGTACATAATAGAAACATTTCTATACCACCACACGAAAGAAACTGGTTCTTCAAGCTGCCTGCAACCAACCTACACTGACCTTCCAAGGTACTGAATACCAGGTTTTCGCCAATTTAGCCCCCTTCAACAATCTAAAAGACCAGAGTTGAAACCCAGCTTATAGATTTTGCAAACCAACCAGATAGCCTACCGTTGGGGGGTTTCCCTTCTGCCCATTTTCACTACAGGGGTCGTTAGCATTAAGGTACCTCTTCCCAAGCTACGCACGATTTTGTCAGACCTTCAACTGATGTATCCGGAGACTGTTCTTTGCGAAGCATCTTCATCTACTCCTCATCTCCAGTCCTCTCGCCTCTACACAAGCCCTGGGGAAGAAACGCTCCTCTGCTCAATAAAGACTGACTCAGCGGACTGAAGGCTCTTCCTTTATGTCAGTTTGCTAAAATTTCTCACCTCCACGCTCCATGGCCATTGTGATAAGTATTTCCCCGTGTTCCATCTTCCTTAGATTTTTACGTTCAGATTCTGTTTTACTTTGGACCCCAGGTTGCCCTTTACGTCATACCCCACTGAAGGCCCCGAATCTACTTAAGCCACGGTTGTTACCGCTAAGCTGATTTTTCTCTGCTCTCCCCCTTAGCTTCAGAACTCTAATCCATTGTGTACACCTCACTACTGCCATCTATTGTGCCTAGTGCTTTACCTATAGTGACATTTGCCTGGAATTATTTTTCTGGTTAGGATGCTTATTATTGCTTTCTTACTGTGAATTACATGGGGAGATGGTCATTATTCCTCGCTGAACTCCATTATGGGAACAATTTTCTTTTCCAGAAACAGCTCAGGGGTGTGGAGATCTTATCGCCCGACGCTCGGGACAGTCAGTTTTGGGCACCGGGCGAGTAGTTTTTTTGTACATTCAGCCCTGCTCCGGACAAGCCGAGCTAAATGTACAGCGTGGGGCCTCCGCTCGTTTTTATACAAGTGTCTGGTTGTGATCACTATTACCCAATGTCTACCCAATTGCAATATTCTCAATTAACTCTGCATTATTAGAAATGATCAAATCTATGATGGCATTTTTCCTAGTTGGATCCTCAACCATCTGATCCATGAAATTGTCTCGCAACATGTTCAGAAACGGGCCACCTTTGTCGAATGGGAGGTTCCATTACCCCAATTGATGTTTGGATAAATTGAAGTCGCCCATCACGACAACATTACCCGGCTTCCCAGCTGTTTCTATTTGGGAGTGTAGATGAGCCTCCTCCCCTATATTTGGAGGTTTATAACAAATGCCCACATTTGTAGATCACTGGTTTGGCCTCATCCCGAGTATGCAGTTCAATTTTGGTCACCAGTCCACAGAAAAGATGCCCTTGAGCTGGAGAGTCAAAAGAGCAACCCTTGCAGATTTTTGCCTATATCTACTGCTAGCAAGCAGTAGATATAGGCAAAAGTTACGAAACAGGTTTAAACTTACCTGCGTCTCCACCGCGCGTTGCCGTCCCAAGATCTGAAGATTCTCGGGCGGCCGCAAAGGATCATGGGGCGGGAGCATGTGCAGTACAGATATTCGGCCGGGAGACGAGGCGAGACACAAGATAAGTCACTGCAGGCGGCCTGGCAGCATGCACCCGCACAGACTCCGGGGGACACAAACAGCAGTCAGCGCTGATCAGAGACCGGCACCAAAACTGCTGAAAACTATAGGAAAGAAGGATGATCGGCTCAAGAGACATTTAAGGTAAGTGCATACACCAACATTGAGGGGGATTTCCCTGTCGCTTTAAGAGGGGACATGATTTGGTTGTACAAAATGTTCAGTGGTCATGGCAACATCAGCACTAAACATTTTACTGGGACTAGAGGCCACCACCTTAAATTGGTGGAGAAAAGGGCTTAGGGACTTTTCAGTTAGTGCGGTTACATTTTCGAACTCTGTGTCACAAGCAGTGGTATGTGCAAAGAATATTGATTTGTTCAAAAATCAAATACTTTCCTAAGAGACTAACATATAGGGGGTATAGTTACTAGACCACACAGTGACACACTCGTTGAACTTGACGGCCCCGTGTCTTTTTTTCAACCTCAAATACTATGCAACTACACAATTGTGTGCTTTATGGCATTTCTTAAGTACCATTGTAGCCATCACTGTTTATCATATGATTGATCCAGTGCATCGCACCTCTAATTATTTTTCTTAATGTCGACCGTTTCCTTTTTGCTTGGTGCCTTTACTAAATGTATGCTGTTCCTAGTGATTTGCTTTTTGACCAAGATTAAAAAGGCATGGCAGGGGAAGAAATGTGTAATTGGAAACCGAGTTACACTCACATGTTTACAGTGTTGGTAAACTAATACATAATGGTCAGAAGCAAATCGGTGGTGGCTCTTCTCAGCGGTGTGTGGAGATCAATTACATGAGAAGCTCATCTGGTAATAAAAACATAACCAGCACGCTGATTGTGTAAAAACTTAAAAGCATTAAAACCAAAATATGCACTAACACTAATGTCTTGAAGCAGTGCTCAACAGCAATGTAGTCCAATATGGTGTGCAGTTCACATGAACCAGTGGGCTCTGTGCTGTTCATTTTAGGTTTATTACCAGGTGAGTGTCTTAATTGATCACCACACATTGCTTCTGACCATTATGTATTACACTTGTAGTAACTTGGTTTCCTTTCACACATTTCTTGCACTGCCACTGCACTAGGTTGTGGCGCTCTTTTACTAAATAGGAAGGGATGAGGGAATGCATAAAGGGTTTGTAATGAAAGTGAACTTGGTCAAAAAGTGCAGAACGATAGCATTACAAGGGCCTGCTTTTCAAATGTTATCAGGTAACAGTGTTGATTTTCAGACAGATCCCTTTTATTGATATTACTAGGGATCTCCCGATGCCACTTTTTCAGGCCCAAGTACAAGTATTTCCCCTCATGTACTTGCCGATACTTTAAATGATGACTTTAAATGGTACATAGTACAACTACATGTCATGTACTATGGATCATGATTTACGCTATTCATGTTAGCAGGGGAGAAATGTAATGCTATTGCTGGAGGGTAGTGGAGGTGTGTGCTGTATACATGTACTACATATACATTACACACGTCCAGTAGACTATAGCAATAGATTTACAGCCAGCCCTGTCCCAGCTTCCCTCACTCACAGTTCACTCTGATCCCTAATGCCTCACGCGGTGTCTCGCGTAGTCATCGCTGGGCAGGATCGCTGCATCGCATCGGTGCTCAGCTTGTGGGAGGCGCTCAATTCTGCCCTGCTAACATGAATAGGTTAAATCATGATCAATAGTACATAACATGTAGTTGTACTATGGATCATTTAACCCATTCATGTTAGCAGGGGATCATTGTAAATCTATTGCTGCAGTGTACAGGATATTTGTGCTGTATATGTACAGTGCATATAGAATGCACTGCAGCAATAGATCTACAATTCTGCGCTAACATGAATGGGTTAAATGAGCCGTAGTATAGGGCTACATATGTACTACAGATCATTTAACCCATTCATATAAGGGGATAATTGTAAATCTATTGTTGCAGTGCATTCTATATGTAGTATATAGTACATGTACAGTACATGGAGTGCCTGCAACAATACATTTACAATTATACTCTAACATGAATGGATTAAATGATCCATAGTACAGGGCTACATACAGATCATTTAATCCATTCATGTTAGAGTAGAATTGTAAATGTATCGTCTGCACTGTATTAGCAGTGTGTATTCTATATGTAGTACATAGAGTATATACTGCTAATTGACTCGCCGCTGCGGGTTTTATTTTTTCTTATCTCGCTGAGCGTCATGTCACTGCTGCTCCGGTGGGCGGCGCTCCAAGCGGGGTCATCCGGCAGTCTCCGGCCACCTAAATTGGGACCCCACCTGGAGCGCCGCCCACCGAAGCAGCAGTGACGCTCGGCGAGGTAAGAAAAAGAAAAAAAAAACATAGCGCAAGCTTCGGCGCTATGTATCGGGGCATTTTGACAAGTACTTGTCAAAATGCCCTGTATCGGGCCTGATTCCGATGCTAGCATCGGTATCGGGACATCCCTAGATATTACTCAAGGTGGAGGAGATTTTTCCCTTAATTTCAAACCCACATGTACACAGCACAATTAAGGGTAGGTTCACACCTAGGCGATTTATTACGCGGATTGAGTCGCGAGATCGCGCAAAACACAGATTCGCATTTAAGTCAATGGAGGCTATTCACACCTTTGCTGTTTGTCACGCTGACCAAATCGCCTGCCGTGCAAAACGGTGCAGGAGCTTTTTTTCGGAAGGTTGTGACCCATAGACATCTCTATGCATTGAAAACCGTGAGGTTTTCAAAGCAGTCGCACAAACGAAAAACACAATCAGCTCCCCAGCTAATTCGCCTTAGGGGTGAAAATAGACGAAGAGTGGATGGGGGGGGGGGTCACCAAAATAAGGCCACAAATAAAACCTAGGAGGTCCTTACCAAGAAATGGCCCCTTCCTGATGCCAAATCCCCCACCCCACAAGTCATTTTAAACTCACCATGGTCTGACCTACTGTTTTGTTGAACAGGGCTAACTGGTAGGGTATCAGCTACAAGGCACAACAGGTAGCACCTGATAACCGAAAATGTAAATGAAACATATGGAGATAGAAACTTTAACATTTTTGTGAATTGTTTTGGTAGATTCAGGCAACAGGTTTTCATTCAAGTTTCTTGTAAAAGTTAAGTCTATTAAAGAAAGTTACAGCTTAGAGTGAAATATGTCAGGAAAAAAAAAAAAAGTGTATAATGAAGACAGTTTATAGGCTATTACAATACATGCACTGATAAAAACATTTAAAGAGAAAGCATCAATGGGCCACTCTTACCATACTCTGTTCAGCCATCTGAGAGGTTACAATTTCCAGTTTACGCTCATATTCCTGTTCTTTGCTGGTTAATTCAAGTTTAAGGTCCTTAAAATTAAGAATTAAAAATTAAGTGGCTGCAGATGGGGGAGAACAAATGGCAAAACATTTTCATACAATTTTGTTTAAAGTCTGTAGTTCATCAAGCTGAACATATTAGGACAACCCTGTGAACCTTCAAAAATGGGTTGTAACCCCATCCCAGCAGTCTGCTACCATATTTCTACCCATACAGTTTCCTTTTAGGTTTTCTGCATTTTAGCTATCCTTCCCCATCTATACGGCTCATTCATCTCTTTTCTTAGCATTACCAACAATCTCAGGTTGCAAGTTTGGTGCTCTATAGGCTCAGGGCACTCAAGGGATATTTCAAATAGTGATGATTAATATTCAGGCCAAGTCTACATGTATAAAGTACATATAACCCACTGAACACTGAGTCATGTTGATAAGACCAGTATTCAGGGTGTGTTTAATAGCTTGGATGCTTTTTGATCATTTTCCTAGGTGCTGCCAAATACAAAAAGGGGTTTTTTTTTAACCCTTGCTGAAGCAGTTATAGCAGAGCAAAAAAAATTACTGTAAGAGTTGCAACAAGGGTAAAGGGTCATACAGTAATATACTTTTTTTTCTCTGCTATATACAGCCTGACTGCAATTCAGTAATAAATTAGTTCACAGGGGCTTTAAAGTAGTAGCAAATAGGCTAGGCTGTATTAAACAGATACTTTTTGCAGATCCTGTTCTGGGAGGGCTTGCACTACCTGCAAATTAGGGATGCTCTGATACAAGCATCGGTATCAGTGGCGATACAGAGTATTTGCATGAGTACCCGTACTAATACTCAGATACAAAAAAACTAGTACCTGTGCCGCGTCCGCCATCTTCAAGGACCCGAAACCGCCGCACACAGGACCTCCGTAGCGTCTTCAATGAAACAAGATGGCCGCAAACTCCTCCAAGTCCTCAGTCATCTGCTCCATTCTGACCTTCACGCTGATCGGCCGATTGGATGATGAAGCCTGTCAATCATCCAATGGCCAATCAGCGGGAGAAGAGGTCAGAATGGAGGAGATGGCTAGCCTGTGACACGGAGTGGCTGAAGCAGACGGAGAAGACGACACAGCAGGTTAGTACTGCAGCGCCATATATACCAAAAAGATAAACCAGCTAATAAGAGTGGCTGGTTTAAAAGGGTTTAACAGAGGATCAGGACAAGTATTCCAATTACAAAAAGTTTAAATATCAGTTTTGGACATAATCATATCACTAACTGGTTTTAAAAAGAAAACAAAAAAGCATGACCTACAATTATAAATCTTCAGGTATGCAGATCTGTTTAGCATATATGAATGAGAGCACATTATACAATCAGCGGAAACCATGTGGGAAAGAAACTGATTTTTTTTTTAAGAAGGTGCTACTGTAACTTCCTTGTTTTTCCCACTGGAGATTAATACGTGTATTTCCGATACCAGCGGACACCAAAGGATAATACGTTATATGAAACGTATTATCCTTTGGTGTCAGCTGATTAGCATATACGAATACAAACAGATCTGCGAACCTGAAGATTTACAATTGTATGCCATGCTTTTTTTTTAAACCAGTTAGTGATATGATTTATGTCCAAAACTGATATTGTATCTAATAAAACTCTTTGTAATTTGAATACTTGTCCCGATCCTCTGTTAACTGGTTTATCTTTTTGGTATATATGGTTCATTGTGGTTACGGATCTGGTTGACAAGTAATTATGAGAAAAGGGTAATTTAAATAGTTTGGATCTCTCTCTGGATTTCTATTAGTACTGCAGCACCGCATGGGGGCTGGGCACAAAAATGCTGTTTAACTGCATATATTTTTTTTAAAAAGGACATTAAAAGAAATAACTATGTAAATATTGCTAACTAAGGCTTGTATTCCCCTAAAGGGGAAAATAGATGAGCACATGTCCAGACTCCAGACCACTGTATACTGTGGCACAGCTATATCCAATTCTGCATACCTAGCTTTATATTAAAAACTAATATAAAGCCAGTTATACAGAATTGGATATAGCTGTGCCACACTATACACAGTGTTCTATAACTTATATTATAGACATTGAATGAACTGAATATTTAGATCATGCCTCGCCGAGCGTCACTGCTGCTCCGGTGGCCGGAGCTCCAGGTGGGGTCCCAATTTAGGTGGCCTGAGACCGGAGCTCCAGGTGGGGTCCCAATTTAGGTGGCCTGAGACTGCCAGATGACCCCGCTTAAAGCGCCGCCTCCACCCGAGCAGCAGTGACATGATGCTCAGCGAGATAAGAAAAAATAAAACCCGCAGCGGCGAGTCAGCGCTGGTCCGGCGAGAGGAGCTACGGGTGGGATTCTAATTTAGCTGGCTGGCACCTCTGAGCCAGCTAAATTAGGACCCCATCTGGAGCTCCTCCAACCGGATCAGTGCTGACTCGTCGCTGCTCTCTCCGGTGTTCGAACAGAGTGAGCGAGGGCAAATGGGGGGAGGGGGGCACTATTTAGCAGAGTGTATTTGTAAATCTATTGTCTGCACTGTATTAGCAGTATATACTCTATGTACTACATAGAGAATACACTGCTAATACAGTGCAGACAATACATTTACAATTCTACTCTAACATGAATGGATAAAATGATCTGTATGTAGCCCTGTACTATGGATCATTTAACCCATTCATGTTAGAGTATAATTGTAAATGTATTGTTGCAGGCACTCCATGTACTGTACATGTACTATATACTACATATAGAATGCACTGCAACAATAGATTAACAATTATCCCCTTCTAATATGAATGGGTTAAATTATCCATAGTACATGATATGTAGCCCTGTACTACGGCTCATTTGGGGGGGGGGGGGCACTATAATTATGCTGCAGAGTTTAATTGTAAATGTATTCTCTGCACTGTATTAGCAGTATATACTCTATATGTACTACATATAGAGTACACTGCTCATACAGTGCAGACAATACATTTACAATTATACACTGCTAACATGAATGGATTAAATGATCTATATGTAACCCTGTACTAGGGATCATTCAATCCTTTCATGTTAGCAGAGGATAATTGTAAATGTATTGTTGCAGGCACTCTATATGTACAAGTACTATGACATATAGCATGCGCTGCAACAATAGATTTACAATTATCCTCTGCTAATATGAATGGGTTAAATGATCCATAGTACATATGTAGCCCTGTACTACGGATCATTTAACCCATTCATGTTAGCAGTGCAGAATTGTAGATCTATATGTACTGTACATATACAGCACAAATGTCCCGTACATTGCAGCATTAGATTTACAATGATCCCCTGCTAA